AACTGCCCCATGACCAGGGCATGTACCGACTCACTAAAGGCGCCAACTATATCCTACTCATCGTCTACGTCGACGATCTCCTCTACATCGGCTCCACCGACGACGTCACCACCTGGTTCGAAGGGGAGCTGCAGAAAGATCTCACGCTCACGGTTTCTTCTACCGTCACGCAGTACCTTGGACTCAACATCCGCGAAGAAGAAAACGCAATCTATCTAAGCGCCGAGAAATACGCCGACACGATCGCCAAGCGCTTCTCGCTCACCCCTACCGCTATCGCCACACCATGCCGCTACACAGCAGGAAACGGCCAAGGAAACTCCACCCTACTAAAAACCGCCGGAATACGCGACTACCAGCGAAAACTGGGATGTCTGCTCTTCGCAGCCGTCACCTGTCGCCCAGACCTGTCCTACTCCGCTAGCCAGCTCGCTACCTATCTCAAGAGGCATGAAGCAGATCACATGTCAGAATTCGATCGCGCACTGCACTATCTCGTGAGCACACCGACGATCGGCCTGACTTACTACACGAACGAAGTTGCGTCAACGAAACTAATCAGTTATGTCGATGCCGATCATGCCGGCGATCCAGATAACAGGCGCTCTCGCACCGGCTACGTCTATCGTCTCGAGCCTATCGGACCTATCTCCTGGCAGTCGAGTAAGCAGGAACTAATCGCTCTCTCTTCAGCTGAAGCAGAATATATCGCCCTCTGCTCAGCCACCAAGGAAGGACTCTACCTTCGCGAACTGCTGGAAGAAGCAAAGTTAGCTGAGTTACCCAGCTTCACCCTGCACTGCGACAACCAATCTGCAATTCGCATCGCCAACAAAAACGGATTCGCGAACAGAACGAAGCATATCGCTCTGCGATACTTCTTCGTGAAAGACGATATCGAGAAAGGAAGACTCGAGTTATCCTACTGTCCCACGTCCGAGATGGCAGCCGACTATTTGACCAAGAAGCTCGGAAAACAGAAGTTCGAGTACTGCATGCTGCTGACTGGAGAAGGCCACGTCACCATCAGCGACACTCCAGAAGCGAAGGGGAGTGTTGGGAACAATAAGTCTTAAGGCGCCTCTGTCGTGTCGAAACTCAGGACACTAGCGAAGCAGTCCAAATCGAAGCATCGCGAGTCAACCCTCGGAGGTTGGCGTAACCGCCTGGAGGTTACGCGAAGGTCAAAGGTCAGCGACCTTTGACTTGACCAAATACAGCGCGACAGCAAGGACACACAACTGACTCGACATTGAGCAGTTGCCCGAGTCGCACTGTATCGAATCGCAACAGTAAAACGGTTTAAATCTATCTATTCGTATTCCTTGTACTCTTATATAAACCTTGTATTTGCTTGTTTAATCTAACTTACTTTGCTCTCACATACTAGTGCAAGGTGGTTCAACCACTCTGTATTACAACGCTTCCGCTATTACAATCCTACTCAGTCCTTAAACTCTACAAAGATCCTAGGGCTTCTCAGCCCAACAGATCTATCGTGCTATAATGATCGATCATCCACCGCACTAAAATGTAGTTTTTAAGCCCTTTTAAACCGAGTGCAGGATCTATCATACGCAGGATCGATTGAGGGAGTGGACGCGTCCTAAATAAAGGTACTCCCGGTTTAGAATGGCCTCACATCACACTCAGCTAGTCGCGCTGAATATTTCATCACATCAATCAACGTCGAAAAAAATGCATTTCCTATTTGCACATCATAGTGCACATCACTGTTGGCACACCAATGCCAGTAAGGATCATGTGGATATTGAGCCAACTACGGTATTGACAGGCCAGGTTTAAATGGTGGCACACATTAAATATGTTTATAACATTTAGGTGCATCATGCCACCCAATGCCAGACTGTGGCTTCAAGCGAAGAAACTGAAAGAGGGCATGCAGTCTGCTGTTCACGTGGGCCGTTGCTGAGAGGATGTGCTGCGCTGGCCAGCTATAATTGGTGTGAAGTTGCAACGGACGGATGAGAACCTTCGTTAGTGGTGCCGACGCGAAAGCGCCATTGGTAGACTCTTCTTCCCGCCTGCTTTGGCTTCTGACCGTCCAATCGAACGGTTTAACCGTATATCTTCGCCACGTTGGACGACTGACGCATCGCTTTGAGCTCTTTTCCCGCCTACATGTCAAGATCTCATTGCTTTTGACGAGGCACAGTTTTGGGTGCGTCCACGTCGCTTTGAAACTGCTGCTTGACCAGGACCCCTCGCATTCGAACTGAACTGAAGCCTGGTCCCGCACGCAGACTACGCGGAAAAGTTTCCGCCAATCCACCGCTCCGTGAGACGGACGGTGGCCGAGGTACACGCCTGCGGGGGAGTTGGAGGTCGAGTTGAACACATGCAACAGGCATGCTGCAAGCACATGGGACCCAATGGGCCAGCAAGCAAAATCTGCCTGCCATCCTCGTGCTGACAGTTTATTCCGCCGCACAGTCGTACCAGATATTTTCGCACCGTTTCGCATAATGTCGCAAATATGGTGAGGCAACACTATGCGAACTTGTAGTGTTTTTTTCCACAGTAGGGATGATAGAATCGGGGTACTGTATGGTAACAACGTCAGCACTGAATCGCTATCATGCTTGCGCGATAAACGTTTTTGGCATGGTTCTGCTGATGCTCTTAAACAGAACTTCTGACTGGGACCATGGCAATCATCATTCCCACTGGTGGTCCATGAGTCAGGCGGTGGAAGCAACAGAACCAGAACAGTGAACGGTCATTCTCCCTTCCCCCCGTTGCCTAGGAAACCGTGTTTATGGGGAAGGTCCGCATGGGCCAGCAGCAACCTGGAATGGTTTGGTAACAAGGGGAGATGACGGGCAGGGGGGAAGTAACTGCAGAAATGCCGAGTGGTGGTGAAGGAGAGCAAGAGAGTGAAAGGACAGGGAAGGAAAGGAAGAATGGCGCGCGGAATGAAGAAGCCAGTTTCCGCCACAGGGTTCTTCGCGCAAGCGAGGGTTTCTTGGCCCGCTCCAGTGCTCCAGAAATGGGGCAAATGGGGGAAACTTATTACGGGAAACCGCAGAGGAAAGCGCAAACACGCGGAACAAAGGGGTCAAACTCCGAGAAGACGCGGAACAGAAGAGCAAAGAAGCACTGGTGCTGGTCACTCTAGCCCTGGTCTTTGAGGCATTCCCACTAACTGCTGGCTAGCTCGTCGCACAGAAGAGAAAGGGAAGGGAAGAGATCACCACTTCTTTTTCCGAGACAGCCTGTTTTTCAGCTTACAAGAAGCTGGTGCAATGCATGAATGTTGTAGGTCTGCCTGTCATCCACCCTTAGCGCTTCCGATACCAACCACGTTATCATACTTAGTCTGCCTCGACGACAGGCTTACCTCAAATTACAACTGGGGGTAGCCGCTAACTAGCTCTTCGAGGTCTTTTTGTTTGGGGGTTATCACAGTGCATTTCTTCGAGAACATTCTTGATTTCTCCAACAATGGAGTGTCTGAGACTGCCTTGTGAAGCCGTGTCGATTTCTCGTAGCGGGAATGCCGGTCTCTCAGCGGCTGAGTTTGCCACACCTAAGGCGACATTAGATCGCCAACCAATTAGAAGCCGGAAGTTTCTGAGTTTCAAAGGCTCCGCATTTCCTTCCATGCAATCCCCTGGTTTCTCCAACGACTCCAATTTCGCAAGAGATGGAGCGGGTTCATCATCCTGGCCTATGTCAGTCCCAGCAATGTCTTCTCAGCCCAGGCATAGTAGCAGATGTCAACGATTCCCGCATTCTGCTCGTTTTTCTGAAGATCCGATCTGTTCGTTTCCTGACAACGACGACCTTGAAGCATCTCGGTTAGCATTGGCTCAGCTTGAACGATCTTTCCTGGCGGAGTCGTCGATTGGAATTGTGGAGTGTACCAGCAAAGGATGCAGACCCGTTCTCAGGTCACCATCTCCACCTGCTGCTGAACCGTCTCCGTCCTATTCCGGATCGTCGCCGTCAACCCATCCTACGTCTTACCCCCTTAGCTCATTAGCTACTGGTGCTGCGTGCATGGAGGAACGAGCTGCGACTTATCACCGGCATCAGGAACAGCGACAGGCCGAAGTGTCGGGCCGGCCAAGTCTTAAGACAGAGTTCGCGGAATTCGTTAATGAAGTCTGGGTGGAGCCGTCGACGGCTGACAAATATTACCGGTCAGCGATGCGGCAATCTCCGTACGATATCCGGTTACTAACTAGTTACGCACAGTTTTCGTGGAAGCAGCTTCACGATAAGGATCAAGCAGAGAATCTGTATCAGAAGGCGATTCAAGAGTCTCCGGATAACTCGGATGCGCTCGCGAGTTACGCTCTCTTCCTGTGGGAAAGTGAGAGCGAGAGCGAAGGGGAGATGGAAGCGGTAAAGAAAGCGGCGGTCGTGACGTCAGTTTAACGCAGATGGGTTCAGCAAGAATTGCGGTGACGAGGCTGATCAGTCTTGTGCGCCTGTTGCATCTCATTTGTTCGAATCGTACATTTCTAGGAACTTATAATTTGCTGCCCCTTCCGCGGAAGGGGCATCTTAGTAGGTAGAGCATGCCTGCTCCCTGTTGCTTAACTTATAGGCAGCGGATTATGGTTTGAGAGTTGTCAATGAGTTTCTGTATACTTAACTTACCCTACCAATGTTCATTGCGAGAATTCCCGACTTGATGTCATGCAAATTATGAGTGCAAGGTTTTGGGGTGATGGTACTTCACTTGCATGATGCTTGATGGCCTTACCAATCTAAATATTTCCTGTGCTGTTATACAAACAAGCCCAGACAGTCTGCCAGGTACACCTGGAAGTGGCTATGATAGTACCACCGTACCGAACCTGAAAAGCCTACAGAAGAGCATGTTGCCCCATTTCAGCAAGATACGTGACATTATTTCCTAGCTCCAAAAATGGTAACTCAAAAGCAAGCTGCCCCCTCCATACAACACCCTCAGGCCCTCTCCAAACCCTAATAATCATCAGTCTCCCTCTCTGACACCCCCCTCCATATCACGCCTCCCTTGAGCTCATCTCCAATGGACCCGGCTCTCCCCTTCGAATACGCCTCACAACAGACCTCCCCAGAGCAAACGCTGCAACCACGCCAGCCAGGCGCAGCAAATGGCCTCCTTGCCTGCGCGCCCGCCCGCCCCTTCCCCTCCCCGCACCACGAACTACTTCGCTGTGGCCGTGCAAACTCATGCTCCCCACACCATCCCCCCCCTCGTCCTCTCCCACGCTCTCCCTTACTCCCTCTTCACTATCTCCTTCCGAAGGCCTCTGATCACCACTCCTGCCGCCTTCCAACTCCTCACTCCATTCACCCACCACCTGCTGCGCGCCAGCTCGTGCCACCCCATGCTGCTGGCGATCAGTGCCGCCTATAGGCCTGTCAGCTCCTACCAAAGCCCGCTGCCCATCCCCTCCTCCCACGAGTTGCACGTCAGCTCTTGTCATGCCATTATGCCGCTGCTCACTGCCTCTTACGCTGCCAGCTCCTAGTAAAGCCTGCTCCCCATCCCCTCCGACCACACGTGCTTCCCCCTCTTGCTGCTGCCCCGCCTCCTGCTGCTGGTCCTCATGCTCCCGCCCCTGTTCCTGCTCCTGCCTCCGCTCCTGCCTCCGCTCCTGCCTCCGCTCCTGCTCCCGAAATGTCCCATCTGCTTGCACCTCTCTCTGCCACCTCCTCTCCTGCAGCCCCTGCTGCTGCGGTTCCTGTTCCCGCCACCCATCCGTTCCCCCCTCTCCCTGCCACAGCCCTGCTTCCCCCCCCTCCCCCTGCCTCTGCCCCGCTTCTCCCCCCTCTCTCTGCCGCCGCCCGGCTTCCTCCCCCACCCCCTGCGACCGCCCCGTTTGCTCCCACTCTCGTAACCTCCTCCTCTCCTCGTAATCCTCATCATCAGTGGGCAACTCAAACCGGCAGATGGGGCAAGAGTTTCTCACAGCAAGCCACTGCCGAATGCACCCGCCGTGATACAAGTGCCGGCACGGCAGCCTCACCACCTCCTCCCCCACCTCTGCCACCTCCTTACACACCGAACAGCACGACGCGCCGCTCTCCACGTCCTCCAATCGCACGACGACAGCTGGCAGCGCGTCGACCGCGGAGAGAGCCGCCGGGGGGTTGCCGCGTTGTTGGGCGTCTGCCGCAACGAGCTGGTCGAGAAAAGCGTCTAAGCCAGGGCCGTCGAGATAGTCTCCTCGGTTACCAAAGTGGCCTCTGTTGCCAAAGACGATGGTTGTGGTTGTGACTCCGTCTGAATCCGTGGTGGCACCACCCGCGCCTGCGAAGCCAGCAGGTTCGGCAGCAGCAGGTCCGGCGCCCCAGTGTATCCGAGCCTCGAACCCAGCCCCGCCAAAGGCCAGCCCACCAGCACCACCACCACCACCAAAACCAGCACCAAACAAACCACCAACTCCACCACCACCACCAGCACCAGAACCAGCATCACCAGCACCAGCACCAGCACCAGCACCAGTAGCACCAGCACCAGCACCAGCACCGGCACCGCCATCAGCACCAGCAGCAAGGCTACCATCAGCATTAACAAGCCGGCCGCGGCGAAGGCTGAACTCCACATGAACGGACGGCCCCACGAGCTCCTGCATCAGCTGCTGCAGGCGCCGCTCCAGCCCCACCTCCAGCCGCAGCAGCGCCTGCTGCTGGGCTGCTCTCAGTCGCCTCAGCAGCCCCGCTCCCCTGTCTTCTGTGGGCCCGGCTACAAACGCCTGCGCCTCTGCCTCCCGCGCGTGCCTCTCGAGCGCTTCTCTCTCGAAGGCTTCTCTGTCAGGTGCTTCGCCTCGCTCCCTCTCGCCCTGCTGCACAGCAGGAGTTGCTCCCTCGACCTCCTGAAAAGGTCTCAGAAAGACCGGTGCTGCGCCCTCCAGCCGTGCCATTTCCGATGCTTGTGCTGCGGATAACGGTCCTGACAACAAAGACGCAGACGATGCTGACGTGGATGATGACGATAACGACGCTGCTGCTGCTGATCCTGTTCCTGCAGCTGCAGCAGGGGCAGGAGATGATGACGTGGAGGATGCAGGAACCGCCCGCTGCATGTTGGCTCGTCCTGAAACCCCTCCCTCCATCCCCTCCCTCCCCTCAAGCCCCGTAACCTCACCTCTCAATCCAGTCCCCGCCACGCCCCCTCGCCTCACCCCTCGTCGTCCGCGTCTGCCCCGTCCGCTGTTAAAGCCAGACGCCAGCCTCTCAACGCCCATGCGAAACAGCGGCACGCGCGCCCTCCCTCCCACATGCTCCTCCTCTTCATCACTCCATCCCCCCTCTCCTTCCTCCTCCTCCTCCTCCTCCTCCTCCTCCTCCTCCTCCTCCTCCTCCTCCTCCTCCTCCTCCTCCTCCTCCTCCTCCTCCTCCTCCTCCTCCTCCTCCTCCCCATCCTCTTCTTCCTCGCCCTCCCTTTCCGCCTCATGCCCGTCGTCTTCCTCCGCCCCTTCAAGGCTAGACCATGAGCCTCCTATCTCCAGCAACAAACCCTCCAGTTGTCTTAAAGTGCTAAGAAAGTGATCCGCCGCCCAATTTCCGCGTTCCCTGCGGCCTGGGATTCGATTCTCTGCGTCCCTCTCCTCCACCTCGTACTCGCTATTGTCACTCTCGCTGTACTCGCTATTGTCGCTCTCTTCGTGCTCGTTGTAGTAACGGCCCCTGACGCCCGCGGTCTCATTCTCCCTCCGCCACCACCGTTCCTCTACCTCGTTTTCCTCGTCCTCGTCGTACTCGCTATGGTCACTCTCGCTAAGAGCACCACCATCGCTGCCGCTGGTAAGAGCTGGCAGCTCATCCTCGCTTGCTGCGGCTTCATTTTCATTCAGAGGCCTCGTTTCGGTCGCACCCGTTTCAGTCACAAGCGGTGACGTGCTCGTACGAGGCGATACAAGATCTGGCAGCTCACTTTCCTCAACTTCCGCTACCGCTTCCCCCGCTTCCGTCACACCCGCTAGCGTCGCCGTCGCTGCAGCATCATCGAACCACAATGCCTCTTCGACTTCCCGACCATTTTGACTTCGAGACCCATCCCCATCCTGACCCCCGTACCCATTCTCCCTTCCTTCATCCCCGCGACTATAATCCCCACCGCCTTGATCCCTAATTTCTTGATCCCCACCGTCTTGAATCTCGTTGTAATCACAATCTTCAGGGTCGCTGCAAAGGTCCGGCATATCGTCGTCGTCCTCCTCCTCGCCTTCAGTCGCTTGAATCCGAGGTCGCGCTTCAGTCACACCCGCTTCTGATGCTGCTGCAGCAGCCACTGATGCTGATGCTGCTTCTGATGTTGATGTCGATGCGAACGCTGTTGCTGCTTCCCAAGTATCACCTCGTTCAGGGTCAACCCCGTTACTATCACCTACGCTTTCATCACCACTTCTTCCACTGAAACGCCTCTCGCACCTTCCAGAAACTCGCTGAAAGCCGTCCATTCTTTCCCGAGAACAATAACGCGACGAAGGAAGAGCTACTCGCCGACAAGTATGCCAATCTAGTGCCACCAGTTCTGTCAAACCGTTTCCTACGCAATCAGTATCAATAAGGCAACAGTTGCACGCGCTCGGAATGTTGCGAATGGTCACTTGACTAGTTGACGAAGGCCATTAGGATGTAAACGCACTTTATCCAGATTATGACGAGGATACGTCGATTCTTTGTAGGTATGTTGATGGGATGTGAACTTGGAACGCACTCCTCGCAAAAGCCTACCAAACCGTACAGTAACCGTTTTTCATCCCTGTGATATGTACACCACCGTTTTAGAACGCTCTTGCTCACCTGACAAGCCAACGAATCTTGAATCTGGTTAGAAACACTAGACAGGTCACCGCACTGTAAGCCACAAGACCGCGTTAGCTTAGAAATAGACCTCACCTACCCATCCTTAGATTCCACAATTACCATTACTAAATTTGCAGAACTTCCCCGAATCATGATGCTATATGATGTAAACCATATTATTCAACTATTCACCAATCTAGTTGAGAGATTAAAAGAACAAGAGTGCGCAATATTGAACACTAATTCATTTCTTATGAGCTTTATATTTTAGTTTATGATATAGGTAAAATACTTAACAATACAACATAAAGCAGTACCAATACATGTAATACTGATGTACGTACACCAGCAATTAGCTGTTTTTCAGATCACAATTGAGTCGTTTTCGGAAGACCGAATCTGCCCAACCCAATGTGATGCTGAGTCCCCGTTGGCTCACGCCAGCTCATCCTCACCATCGAGAATCTCATCCTGCCCGTTTTCGCTGCGATGGCGATCATCCAGGGCCCATGACAGCGTTCGTCGTAGCCTCGGATTCTTTCGCCACTGCCCTTCGCTTATCGTGCGACTGTCCGTGCATGACGCCCAGCGTGCGAATGCGGGCAGGACGGGCAGAGCGGATGGGTTGTTGTACAGTCCTGTCAGTGGCTTGGAGAGCGAAACCAAACCCTCGCCACTTCCTTTCGGCACGTCTCGCGGGAGTCCTTTGAAATCCTCGCTGCAAGTGCGAAACCCTCGCTTGCTGCTATCCACCTCTCGCCTATCCCTCTTTCAGACCCTCGCCAGCTCGTCTCGGACAGGATGAAACCCTCGCCAACCCATTTCTGCCCTCGCCAATCCATTTCTCCTTCGCCTAGTTCTTTGCCTCCCCTCTTTCCCAGTAATCCTTGATTTCGCCTTCCTTGTCCCTTTCTTTCGCGTAATCTCTCGCGCGTTTCGCCCACCCTTCTCGCCCCAGCCAGCGAAGAAAAACTACCCTGGTTTTGGCTCTCCCCCCCTGCTCGCCCAGCCTGGCGTCGCTAAACTCAGCTATGGCGATTCGTTTCTCCCCAGAGGAGCTCAAAGGGGAGCTTCTCAGGGTGAGGCGTGAACTTGCTCATTTGGATACCCTTTTAGATCGGACCTTCAGGGACATAGAAGCTGCGAGTGAACATGGCGAGAGGGACCGCATGGAAGATGCGAGAAATGTGCGACAATGTCTTTGGAAGGATAAGGAGCAGCTGAGGTCACAAGAGACTATATTTCTGAGGCTATTATTCGATCCAAATTCTGTTGGTGGAAATCCTGCGGAAAATGGAGCGCCGTCTGCGGGCGCTGGCTTCCCGCCTCAATACTCCGTTGATGGTAAGGCTTCTTTTCGTGAGCTTAGCTGACCTGTATATGTGTTGGCATCCAACTATTCTGTCTTAGATGTGTGCAATGCCATTATTATTCGCCACGTGGCGCTGATTATTGTTTCTGTTTTACAATTCTCTTGCGACAGGTTCGCCGATGCCGATTATGGGTCATGGAGATCCTTCGCGGATGCTCCACTCGGTATTTACACCACCGATGCTCGGAGTTAAGCCGGGAAAGATGAAGATGCGACGCAACAAGCTCGCTTCACCTGGCCTGCCATCGTCCATGTCTGACGGAAAGTCTCCATCTGGTTTTGAATCTGACTTCGCTAATCCGAATGGTTACGAAGTCAACCGGAGTGCGGAGTGCAAAGTTCGCGACGTCTGGCTCGAATGGAAGGAAGGGCTGAATGGTTTTCCGTCGATTGAGAAGCTTGAAGAAGAGAGGAAGAAGGACCGGAAGAAAGTCTGGTGGAAGAATATGAACGACTACAAATACTGGAGCAAGCAGGTCGGTACAGTCGTTTTGATCCTGAACCAGTAAACGTTGCGTAGTAATGCACTATCGCTGTTTACATCCTGACTTATTTTCCTTCCCTGATCCTGCAGATGAGGATTGTTCATGCTGTCGAAGAAAAGGCTCGCGAGCTTGGTGGGGATCTTGACTCCAGCATCAATTTCTGGGAGGACATTCTTCGCGAGGAATTCGACGGAAGCGTCTCGAAGCTTCGCGAAGCTTTAGGAGGCCAAAAGACAAACGAAGAAGACATTGGTCGTTTCAAGAAGCGATGCCGGGATTTGTTGCAAAAGGGTTTGCTTCGGATGGCTAAGAAGAGACAGATGACGCACCAGCAGTCTGATCCGCATCATGCGCACCAGCAACAAGTCTTGCATCAGCAGCAGCTGATGGAAATGCAGCAGCAGACGTTTACTCAAGCTGTTCAGGGCGACATGGTTCACATGGCAGGCATGGGTATGCCACACGATCCCAATGTCCTTCCGAAGCATGAAGCCCAGCACGAAGTTTCGCAGCAGCAGGTTCTGGAAGAAAACATGTTGCACGAAGCTGCTGCTGCTGCAGCAGCAGCAGCCGCGGCGCAGGGTCAGCTAGATAACAGCGTGCTGCTGATGCAGGAAGCGCATGGGCTGCAACAGATGTCAGGCGAAGGTCAGGCGGTGATGCAGGGCCATGGTGAGGAGCGTCTAGAAGACGCTCAGGAACAGCTGCATCAGCAGCAGCAACAGCAGCAGCAGCAAGAGCATTTGCGACAGATGCATGAAAACCAGCTTATTGCTGCGTCCATGCATGCTGCACAAGCAGGCCATGCTGAGGGGGAGGAGGAGCATGGGGTAGAGCAGCATGGGGAGGAGGGGGAGGAGCAGATGCATGGGGATCATGGAGAGGTGGAGGAGGGTGATGAGGAATTAGAAGGGGAAGGCAGAGGGGAAGAGGGGGAGGGGGAAGAGGAGCATGTGTGAGTGGTTGGGGATGGTGTGGTAGGTGCACTGCTGGTGCCTTACATGCCTACTCTACTATCTTGATGTTTTGTGCGTATTTTTTTTCATAGAGCTGGTTTCATAGATGTGATTTGAAATCATGTCCAGGAAGTTGTAGGAATGAGTAATAGTACATCAATTGCTCTATACATTGTACAACCTCATACAAAACAGGTGCTCCTGTACCATTCAGTGCCCTTAACCATTAGAGATAGAAGTTTCATTTCCACCAACTGTACATCAGCCTATAGACAACTGGTATGGCGCTCCCTCGTATTCCCCAACATCCACAATCCACGAGTGCTCTATTGCTGCTCTGGCAGCAACCGATGCAACAGCCGAGACAAGAACAGGAGGCACTAGAGCTGAGAGTGCTGTTCACTAACCTAGCGTGCCTCTTTCAAAATTCCCCACACATCCACAATCCCCGCTGGGAACGAGTGTTCTGATGCTGCTCTGACTGCAACAGCGGCAACAGCTGTGACAGGAACAGGAGGCACTAGAGCTGGGCCGATCAGGGGCAGGTGAGAGAGGAAGGGCAAGTTCTTGAAGGCCTGAAGAGGAAAGGAATCAGGGACAGAGACAGGAGTGGGGCAAGGGGAGAGGAGAAATGAGAGTGAAAAGAGACAGTCGAGCGAACTCTTTGTCAGGCTCCGGGCGGGGGGGTTAATGAGACAGAATGGCTGGCAGCAAAAAAGTGTTGAGGCCTGGAAGCACTCTCACCAGTTCCAAGGGAGCTCCGATCAAGCCGAGAGGCAGCTGGTAGGTGCCAACGTTGCGAGTGCCATGAATCATGGCTGGTCGAAGAACAACTCCTGCGACGAAAGAGCCAGAAGAGATAAGGGGGGAGGGTGTGGAGCCATGGGGGACAAGAGATCGGTAAGTGAAGAATTGGGAACGCTGCGAGTGGCGTGAATCATGGCTGGTCGGAGGGCAACCCCTGTGAAAGAAACGAAAGCGATTTTGGGGAGTTGGATATGTGGAGAGAGATGGAGACGATTGGGAATTAGACAGAAGTAAAGGAAGGATTACATCGAAGGTGCGTATAAAGAAAGAAAAAGGAGTACAACTGCAAGTGGGTGGAAGAGGGGCAAGGGTGTGCTAAAATGATATAACATGAGCCACCAGCCAGGAGTGATGAGTCATAAGGCATGGGGTATGATGCATGAAGCATGAGGCATGACGCATGACGCATGGGGTATGATATGTTAAGCATGCGGCATGAGCAGGCACATACCTGTGTTGGGGTAACTTGCCATGACAGCTGCCTCTGCTGCTTTCTGAAGAAGCGGGGACAAGCGAAGGGAGGGAGGAACGAAGGGAGGGAGCGGGAGAGGCAAGTGCTTGCTGCATGTGCACAGCGTAATTGTTGATTAAAACTGGAATTTGCGCGGCAATGTTGTAGCAGCACTGTACATTTGCACCGTACATTTGCACTGTACATTTGCACCGTACATTTGCACTGTACATTTGCACTGTATATTTGCACTGTATATTTGCACCATACCTTGCCCTCGTAGTATCCCCTGAGAACGAAAGAAGGCAGACCCACGTCATGCCCAGAGATGAAGACAAACCTCGCCACCCCTGCCAGGGAAGGAAAAACCGGAATGATTAAAGAAGTGCCTAAATACTGGGTAGCCCTCACTTAGACAAAGATAGGGAAAGTGGGAGCCAACAATCCCATTGCTCAGTTTTTACCAAGAGAGGAAGATATCATGGGATTGTTCCATAATGTCCCATGATATCTTCCCCTAGGAACCAACAATTGCTCAGTTTTTACACCACTGGAGATATAACCATGTCTGATCCGAACC